CGGGATCCCCGTAGCCGACAACTTTTCCAAGGGCATGACATCCCCCCCGCCCCCGCCCCCGCCCCCGGTTTCCGCCCTCTTTGCGAGGGTTTCGGTGAGGGCTTTATGCGCGCGTTTCCCACCGAGCGGGACGTTCTTGAGTGTGTAGGACCAGCTCTGGTCGTTATATGGGTGGTCATACTTCCCGTACCGTAGGGTAGCGCACCGCAAGTGGGGGAAGGCGCACATCCCCCGGGGGAGTATCCGCGGCTCCAGCGGGAGGAGGGAACTGTGCTCCGTGAACTGCTCCTTGTAGTGGGTGTAGAAGGTTTTCATGTGCTCCCCGTGGTAGGCCCGGCCAGGTGGGGCCAGCATGGTCTTGAAATGCACGAAGGACATGACTGGTTTTCCGTTCCATTGTCAACCTTGATTTAATTTCGGTAAGGCAAAGGTAAAAAAAGGCGGGGAAAAGAGGAGTGGGGGGGGGGGGGACGAACGAGTACTGTAAACACCTACAAATGCATACTCGAAACTCCTAACATGTCTCGCTAACCTTGGCGTCGAGGCGATGTTCTCCAATCTGTTCAAACTCTCCTTGCAAAAGTAAGTGGTGACCTCCCGAAACACGGAAGCTGTGGCTAGTTCGCAGAGCCGTCGATTGACCAGACGAACCGACAACTGGCTCTTCTTCGGCAGTAGGGAGATGATCTGGTCGGTAAGTTCGATGGGTAACGAATTCATCACCAACCCTCGAGGTTTCTTTCTAAATTTTTTTTTCTTTTTCCTAAAATTTTTTTTTTTTGTTTTGTCGTTCCTTCCTCCTTTTTTCCCACGAAACCGAGTCAGATCGAACCAAATTCAAAAAGATATGACAGTAAAAGCAGAAATAGAAAATAGAGGCTCGAAATGTCCTCAGCAAAGCAAGCAAGCAAGCTAGAACTATGATACAACACAACAGTGAGGCGACGAACGAGGAGGAGGACGACGATGAAAAAGACAATTAACGAGAAAAGTGCAAAAAAAAAAAAAAAAAAAAAATTTTCTTTTAAACCTCCATCACATTAAATTTAAATACCTCTCTCCACAACTACGAGTACCCACGGTGCCAAAACTCGAGGTCATCATACTCTGGAAGCTCACACAGCAGTATCCGAACACACCTCAACGCCAAGACGCGCCCACCACAACAAAAAGCTTCAGATCTTTGTTGTTCTTCCGAGCACCAGTTAAATTTATTTACTGTTAGGACATTCGTCCCCAGCGAAGCCCTACGAGTACAAGTATACTATACGCTGTCTCAGAAAGGACGTGTTTATGTGTGTTGTCCATCCAGGGTAACTAATTACGATACCTACACACCCCGAACCTTAACCGCAACCTCCCGAAAAGCGCCCCTCCACGGATAAGATGATATGATACCATAAAACAACGATATCGATATCGTACCGTTCCCACCCGAGAAGGTCCGAGAAATCCCGAAAAAGACCCGCTCACCGAATACCGACCGCCAAGAGAATCGGTTTCGAGTGATGGTGTATGATCGCTCGAAGGAGAAGAAACGAAAATTTAACGTAAAAACAGACGGTTGATTCTCTCCCCGCAGCGTGCGTGCGTGCACACGAGACGGACAGAAACAGAACAGAAAAGACATGAAGTGCTGCACGGCGTTTACATCGTTTGCTTTGCTTTGTAATCTCGAGAAGGAAGGAAGGAACCCAGCCAAGTGGTATGCAGGCGCGATGATATATTCAGCTGAACTTTTCCACAGCTCTTGCGAAAAAAAAAAAAAAAAAAAAAAAAAAATCCCATCCCAGATCTCGTTCCCGGTTTCGCTTGGGGTATGTACGTGTACGGTACTCGTACTGTACCGTTCACCTCATTTCGATCCTCACCACTCGACCTCTTAACTTTATGCGGTACAGTAAGATGAAGGAAACAGCCAGCTGGCCAGTTAGGATCCGCAATCCCAAATATCTCAACTTCTTTCTTCTCCCCGACTATCGCCAAAAGCGCAGCAGCATATCACTGCCAAAGCGATGTAAAATGAAAAAAAAGTGCAATGCAACGCACTGTGATGTGATGTGAAAACCAAGGGAGGGGGAGTGAGGAGAAACAGATCATGCAAAGGCGAGCACGCAACTTGAGTACAGTACAGTACAGTACGAGTACTGTACCTGTGCTCGAGTGAAATTGGAAAAACAATTAATTTACCGTTGTATTGAAAAGTAACTGGTACTCTGAGCCATTCAAGAGTACAAGTTACCTGTACTCGTACCCAGGAGGAAGGGGGGGGGGGTTTCCCCTCTTTTGTGCGTGGGATATAGTCTAGTCTAGGAGTTGGTGGATTGCAATTCACTTTTATTCACTTTTTTTGGTGAAGAGGGAGAGAGAGGGGATATCGTAATGTACCGTACCGCAGTGCACATTCCGGGTTGAAGATCGTCTTTGTAGACTATTCAAGTTGGCTTGCATCGTGGATGATGCTGTGATACTTTTTATGGCAACTGGGAAGTATTTATCACTTTGTCCGCCCAGCTGAACGAACGAACGAACCGCGATGCCATGTACAGTACCGGTACAAAAGTGCTGGTATACTGTATCATACTCGAGGAGGAAGCGGGCCACGCGTAAACAATTCACATCTTGTCCCGTCGTTGTGTATTGTCGCGACTGGTCGAGTACCGGTACGTGCA